CACCCACCATTGCGCAGCAGGGGTTCGAGGTCCTCGCTGAGCAGCAGAAGCCGCCCAGCCCGGACCTCGATCCTCGTCCCTCCACCCCTCCCTCTCCCAGCACCGGTCACCAGCCCAACCCTCCACCACCACCACGCCTGGCAAGAAGAATTCAACACAAGAGAATTCAAGAAAAGACTGTGTAGCACAGCACACAGGTTCGACACAGGCACCAAAAGAGGGACAGCCGGCGACGGACCTTTAGAAGGCGCCGTCGTCCTCATAAAGGTGGGCACGATCGGGGGGGGCAGTACAACAAGAAGAATTTTACAACAAAACTCCCTCGCACGACAAGAAGAATTTTAGAACCTCCTCGCACGACACTAGGCACGACCGTGCACCGCGCTGCGAGCCTGTCGTGTCCCTTGTCAGGAGCAGGAGAGCCCCACCTGTGCCCCTGATCGTCCTTCCAAAAATCCTGCTCGTGCAGGTGTGGACCCTGTCCTCCTCCCCTATCCCTCGTTTGGGTTGTCTGTTTTCTTTCTTTTCAGGCACGACGAGAGTGGGACGACCGCGAGGTGGCATGAAGGTTGCAGCGAGAATCGGCGAGAGACTGCGAAGAGAGATAGGAAGAGGCAGACTCCCTAGGGTGGGCGACGGCTAGCGCATCACGCACCTCTCCTTAAAATCCCTGTGTGGTGGCGGCGTGTCGTCCTCCCATCCCTCCCTTGGGTTGTCTGCTTTCTTTCTTTCTTTTCTTTTAGGCACAGGACTGGCGCGCACAAGCAAGAATCGCTCACAAAACCCCAAGTGCTCCAAACACTGGCACGACAAAAGGCGCGGACTGGCGCGGACTGGCACACACACCGGCTCACCACCGCCGCCTAAGCGACTCCGTTAAGAACGACAAGAAGAAAGTGCGTGTACCTCCCTCCCTTGGGTTTTCTCGTTTGGCGGTTGTCTGTTTTCTTTCTTTCTTTTCCTTTTTAGGGCTCTCTCGAACCCATCCGGCCCGCTGCTTAGCTCCCCGGCCCTGGGTGTGCGCTTACCAACTGCACTCCAAGTGCTCCAAGTGCCGGGTGCGCTTCTTACGTTCTTAACTTAGCTCCCACCCGGCCCGCTTCCCGGGGCGCGCGGCGCGGCCCCCCTGCGCCACCCTGCCACCCTGGGCTTTTGGCGGTTGACCGCGCACTCCGCCAAGTGCTCCCTATAGAGCCTAGTGCACGTGCCGCCCTTGGATGTGAGGCTGATGGCCGCACTCCAAGTGCTCCAAGTTTGAGACCACCCCGAGAGCTCCCGCAACTCAGGATGGTCACACCAATCTCAAGAGAAATCTCCCAATCTCTCTAGTCCTAGAAGAAGCTCTAGAATACCCAAACGCGCCAATATCAACGAGAAGAACGCGAACGTCTGAGGACCTCTTTGCTCCCAACGCGCCCCGGATATAAGTACAACTCCGCAGCCGTAAGTCGCGGCACTTGAGTCCGTTGTCCGCGCGCATGGCTGAGTGGACGTTGGGCGCCCTGCTTCATGTTGACTTGTCAAACACGACGGTCGCGTCGGCGGCTAGGTCGGCGGCCGAAATGGAGAGCCGGGTCGACGATGCAATGCGCCAGCCCCGGACGTCAGTCGCCCCTCTGGCTGTGGGCGCGGAGCGGCCGAGCGGGCGGCTGCTGCTTAACCTCGAAGGACATGCGCCGCACGAGTTTCTCCGGGACCTGAAAAGTCGAGTGGGAAAGGGGTGGGGTTGCGAGAGGGCCAGCGGCGAGGGGACGGCCAGCGGGCACGTTGGTGTCTGTGCGCGCAATCTCGTCGACCAGCTCGTCGACGGGAGCAAGGGAGCCGTCGTGAGCGAGCACGAGCGCGTCGTAGGTCTGCAGGTGCTTGCTCGAGGCCTCGGTGCCAATCTCCTTGCCGTTGAGGAAGCCGATCGAGATGCCGTGCTCGTGCGGCACGTTGGTCGCGGCGTCGATGTCGGAGCAGGAGTCGCCAATCACCTGCGTCGGCGGCGGCACGTGGTGGGTGGTAGGCGGACCAGTTGGGCACGTCACGGCGCCGAGGCGTCATCTCGCACGATGAGTGTCGAGCGCCGCGAGTGCTGCCGGAAGAAGGCGGAGGAGGCGCGGTAAGCCGTGTCCTTGGTGAAGGACGTGATCGGGGGGCTCGGAGCGACCGACTGCGGCGCCGAGTCGGCTCCTGCGACGCGGCAGCGGGTCGCAGGTTGTGGGCGGGAGGCAGGGAGGAGCATGCGGGCCGTGCGTGTGGACGCGCCATAGTTGAGGCGGTTGGAGCAAACGGTGATGTTCTCGGTAAGCGCGTCGTGTTGGCGCAGAAACTCCTCGATCACGTCGGAGAGGCCGGCGGAGACGATGAGCAGCGGCACCTGGAGCACAGCGAGCCGCGCGAGCAGCTTGAGCGCGCCCGGCCGAGGCTCCATCCTCGTCTCGCGGACCATGCGCGGGATGAGGTGGCGCGGCGGCTGGCCGTGCTTGATCATCAGCTCGTGCGCCTTGTCCCACCACGCGACCCCGTCCACGTCGGGGTTGGTTGCCCAGTCTAGTAGAGGCGCAAACTCGCGCCGGAAGGCGGGCGTCATCAGCTCCGAGAAGCCGAGCATGTCGTGGCACTGGATCGAGTCGCCGGTGGTGATGGTGGCGTCGAAATCGGCGATGACAAGCAGATTGTCCAGCCGCGTGTTCTCCACGAGCGCCCTCCGCTTGATCCACCATGAGCTCATTGGATGCCAAATGGACTCGCGCTGCCGCCGCCCGTGCAGGATGATGAGGCCGGCCGCGAACGCCGACGCGAGGAATGCGACCGTTTCGTGCTGCTGCACAACCATTGCCATGCGCCTGCTCGCTCGTTCGAGCTGGGGGACTGCGACAGGCCAAGCGATACGGCTGAAATCCCGGCACAACACTCAACACAACAGTGCCCGCCGACTAGGCCGTCCCGGCGGACTCTTGCGGTTTTCTTTTCGTTTGAGGCAAGAGGAGTAAAGTAAGTCGGCGAGGTAAGGTTGCAAGAGGCAAAACATAATAATAAAAACATGCGCGCGAGCAGCTAATCCACCACTACTTGGCCTTGCCAATCCCCGCGCCGAGCATGCCGGGGATGTGCTCGGGGTGCAGTTCCAGCACCGACCCCGTGGTGTGCGCCCCCGACAGCAGGAAGAGGATGGCGCTGGCGACGTCCTCCGGCCTGCAGATTCGCCCAAGCGTGGAGGCCCTGTCCGCCTGCTTGAGCCAATCCTCTCCCTGGCCGAGGGAGAGCTGCAGCGCGTGCTCGTTGGCGGTCGAGCACCAGCCCATGTTCAGGGCGTTGACCCGAATCCCGTCGCGGCCGAGGGCCGCCGCGTTGTTGCGCGTCAGCGTGAGGAGGCCGCCTTTGGACGCCGCGTACGCCATGCAAGAGGTCAGGCCGCCGTTGGCCTGGACCGAGGCGACGTTGACGATCGCGCCGCCTCGTCCTTGGCGCCGCATGATGCGCGCGACGGCCTGCGTGAAGAGGAAGGGCGCCCGCAGGTTGACGGCGTGCAGCTCGTCCCAGAGCGCCGCCGTCGTCTCGTCGATCTCCGCTCGCCGCGTGTCGCCCGCAGCGTTCACCAGGGCGTCGATGCGCCCGAATCTAGCGTCGGCCGCCTCCACCGCCGCCGAGATCTCGGCCGGCGATTTGACGTCGCACCGCACAAACAGGCACTCGCAGCTCTCCGACAGCTCCGCCGCGGCCGCCGCGCCCTTGTCGCCGTCGCGGTCGACAAGGCAGACGCCAGAGGCGCCACACGCTGCAGCGAGGCGGGCCGTTGCAAGTCCAAGCCCCTGTGCCGCGCCCGTGATTAGCACGACTCGTCCTGCCATGTCGCCGAGGCCTCCCAGAGACGGCACGCACGGCGGGAGAAGAGCTGAAGCGTGAGGCTGCTGCTGAGCTGAGCTGACGCACTGCCGCTGCCGCTTCCGCCGCGACGCCGCGACGATGCTGCTCGCCACGACGGCGGCGGAGGCAAGCGCGACAAGCGCCACGCGGAGCATGCGTGCTGTTATTTTGCTGTTGCCGGCCTTGCTCGCACTGGAGCTTGGAAGCTGTCGTCGCGAGAATAGCTGTGTCTCCCGTGTCACAACAAGACAATAGCCAGAGGCAAAAGAATTTCCAGTCGCAAAACGCTCCTGGAGAGCAAATCTCGATGAAGGTTGCAGCGAGAATCGGCGAGAGACTGCGAAAAGAGATAGGAAGAGGCAGACTCCCTAGGGTGGGCGACGGCTAGCGCATCACACTCCTCTCCTTAAAATCCCTGTGTGGTGGCGGCGTGCCGTCCTCCCATCCCTCCCTTGGGTTGTCTGTTTTCTTTCTTTCTTTCTGAGCAAATCTCGATATATCTCCAGTCGTAGCGGTGGAACTTTTTTTTGGCTCGGTCAATTATTTAGCCATATATGAGAGGATCACGGCACAGTGTCGTTTGGGTCGACAGTAAATCTCCCACAGCCCACGTAAATCCGTCTTTTTCAGGCACCCGGAGCCCTCCGCGGCCGCTTCTACGCCGGCGAAGCACCATCAAGCTGCTGTACGGCCCCGGCATCGCCTCCCCTGGCTTAGCTCTCAGTCAATATATTGTGCACATGGTCAGTCTCTACAATATACTCACTGACACTGAATGAACCTCCCAGAGCTCGTCCCGGTCCGTCACGGCCATCCTCGTCCTCCGGCGGGCCCCCGGCCGCGGCGCGGTGCGCCGGCGTCACAAATCCGAACGCAGAGCACCGGGACGCGGTCGGGCGATCTGAGGCCCGAAGCCATGCAGCTCGCCCTCAAGCCATTTCATGAGCAGGCGGACATCGCTTCTCTCCACGCCCCACCCCCCCCCTAGCATGTGGTGAAGCCTCTCGGGGGGGCGGGACCCCCCCCCTAGCATGTGGTGAAGCCTCTGGGGGGGTCAGACCCCCCCCCCCGGCATGTGGTGAAGGCGCTGGGGGGGGGGGGGTGACCCCCCCAGAGGCTTTACCACATGCTAGGGGGGGGGGGCCGCCCCCCCGAGAGGGTTTACCACATGCTAATGGGGGGGTGGGGCGTGGAGAAAAGCGATATTCGCCTGCTCCTGAAATGACTTGAGGGCGAGCGGGCTGATTTTGTGCTTCAGATCGCATGATCGCGTCCCGGTGAGCTGG